CTATGTTTTTTATTAGAATTAGCTCCAATTATTCTGTGATCTAAGAAAAACAAACACAGGAGGAGTTATTTCTTCAAAAGACTTTCTATTTGCTATATTCTGGGGAAGAAACTTATTTATTCTGTCTTTGGTCTAAAGACAAACAAAGAGGCAAAGAGACAGGGAATCATTAGATTGAAACATATGAAATTCCCTTCTTGAGCCCTAAGGGCAACTACATGNACTTAGCCAAACTCCCAACCTTCAGACTCACATTGAGTGCATTGGACAGAACAAAGCCCACAGTGTCCCCACTTAGGGTATCTCTGTAAATAACCATCATCAAGGATGAAAGGAAGATGACCAGGTTCCCAATAAACTCCAGACGAACTGCAAGCCACCTGTGGGGCAACAGAACCAGAGAGAGAGAGGCGTCATTGATCACTTCCTCACCTTTACCAGCAACCCTCGTGTTCACAGAATATTCTCAGAGGGTTTGAGTTGGTAGGGATTCACTCTTAGGATGTGACACAATTTGAACTCAGGAATACCAATTATTTCTAAAAGTTTATTAAATTGTTTTGTTTTGTTTTTAATGAAATAAATTCCATTTTAAAGATCTTACAGGAGTTTGCCAAACTAAGGGAATCCTATAGTGCATGTCTCAAACTTGCCAAATCATAAAGATCACCCAGGGCCATTGTTAAAAATACAATGTTACACATTCATGTGAAGATTTAATGGACCCATCCCCAAGGAAATTCTGATTCAGGGCGCCTAAGATAGGCTTCAAGAATCTGCATTTTTAATGAATGCTCCCAGTGATTTCTCTGGATCAGGTCAGAGAAGCAATGCCATTGTGAATGCATATGTAAGGTTAAAAAGTAAGTACCACAGGGAGGTTCAATGTACCCTGTTAGATTTCACTGTTTTCAAAATGTGAAGAAGCTGAGGGTGCAGGGAATTTAGGTGTGAGGTGATCACAAGGAGATACATTGGGCTTTGTAGAGAACTGAATAGTACTCATTCACAGATAGTTTATAAACTTTGGCTTTCCCAAATAATGTGTTTAAGTAAGTTTGCACCAATAATTCTAGCATGTGTACAAATAAATTCGATACATATTTTACAACAGGGTTTTTTTTAATGATTTACTTTAATGCCTTTTCCTTCTTGTAAAGTCTCTAAGAAATAAAATATCTTTAAAATCAAATTCCTAACATCTCCACATTCCAAATAATATTGAGCATCACATAGCTTGTCCTTAACATCTCAAGACACTTTGAAAGCCACTCAAAAATTTTCCTTTCCTGGGAAAAAACCTTCCTCCTTTAAGGACATGCCACTACCTGCCAGGGTTTAATGATGCTGGAAAATAATGCTTACCCTTTTCAGGAATTCATCTCACATGATGTGAGCTTCCACTTCTCTCATCAATGGTTTTACCTAAAAATTCCCAACTGTCTCTCTCCAACCTCCGCTTCTTTCTCCCCCTAAAGAGAGATCATGCCTATGGAGAATCTCACGTCCATTCTCAAGGAGGCAAACACAGAATGTCCAGTTCACCTAGCATGTGTAGGGTGGGCTACAAAATGCTCACAATTGTCACCTGACTTCCACTGAACCCTATGAGGTAGATTGTGTTCTAACCATTGTAAAAACAAAGAAACTGATGGGCCGGCCCGGTGGCGCACTGGATAGTGCGCCGCTTGGGAAGCACGGCGGCGCTCCCGTCCGAGGGTTCGGATCCCACATATAGAACGGTTCCCGCTCACTGGTTGAGCGAGGCGCGGGAGCAACACCGAGGCTTGCGATCCCGTTGCCGGTCCCCGGTCCGGTATGGGGGCAACACTGAGGGTTGCGATCCGTTGCCGGACACGACAAAAAGACAAAAACAAAAAAAAAAAAACAAAGAAACTGAGATTTTCCTTAGAGAAGTCAAAGCAATTCACCCGGTTGAGTAACNCTGTTTAATTTCCATGTGTTTGTATAGTTTCCAGAATTTCATTTGTTATTGATTTCTAATTATAATCCATTGGGGTCTGAAAAAATACATGGGATAATTCCAATTTTTTTGAATTTGTTGAGACTTGATTTGTGACCTAAATGTGATCTACCCTGGGGAATGATCCATGTGCTGATGAGAAGAATGAATATTCTGAGGCTGTTGGATGGAATATTATGTAGATATCTGCCAAGTCCAATTGGTCTAGTATGTTGTTTATATCTTGTGTTTCTCTGCAGATTCTTTGCCTAGATGATCTGTCCAATATTGACAGTGGGGTGTTCAGGTTCCCTGCTATTATGGCATTAGTGTCTATTTCCTTCTTTAGGTCTAATAGAGTTTGTTTTATAAATCTGGCTGCTCCAACATTGGGTGCATATATATTTATGATTGTTATGTCTTCTTGATGGATCAATCCTTTTATCATTATGTATTGGCCCTCATTATCTCTTTTTATGGTTTTTAGTTTAAAGTCTATTTTATCAGATCTAAGAATAACTACTCCAGCTCATTTTTCATTTCTGTTTGCATAGTAAATCTTTTTCCATCCTTTCACTCT